AATTCTGCTAAAATATTTTTCAGCCACGCTCCAATTTAAAAAAAAAAAACCTTCACATAATGCATGCTTCAAAAGAAAGTGGATTCATTCCGTAAATAAGCCACTGAGCCATTATTAAATGAGAATTTAATGAAGCTTTTACCTAGCTACTAGTTAAACAATGAGCAAGTATATTCATTTCCATATCAAGCTTCTACAACATGGTTCATACTTCTAAATATACAAGTAAATTAAGACAACTGCGCCATAAACGAACAAGTTCCAGTTAGCTAACACCCCTAAAGCTATAACTATTTTACATATTCATTCGGCCACTATCGCTCCCAAAGAACCATGCCCTAATACAGAAAACTAATCCGGGCAAACTTCTAATAAGAAGGGAAAAAGATGGAAATTGAAACCCAAAGCTAAATCTTTGAACACAACTAGAAAAAAAAAAAGGCAAACAAAAACGAGGCGGCACTATAGGCGCAAGAAAAGCTCGTTTTCCGGCCAAAGCGGCAGTAAACCCAAAAACAAACCGATCAATCACCCATGGTAGTAATTACTGCAACCATAAGATCTCAGATCGAACCACTGTAACCTAAATACCTTATCCCAAAGTCAGAGTGTATCAAACGAAAAATGATCAAATAAACAATCAAATAAACAAAATAAAGAGGGTTGCGTTCATCATTCTTACATCTCTGCCGGAGTGATGATGGCGATTGTTTTGCATGGTAGAAGTAGATACAGGCGAGGATGCCTTAGAATCAGCTTCGGCGGCGGGATCGCCGGCGACGGGGATAAGTAGCTCCCGATCTCTCTCTCTGTTCCCCATAACAGTTGAAGCTTTTTCGTCGCCCATCTACTTTACCCCTTCCCGTTATTTCTGTGTTTTTTTTTTCTTCGATCCTATGGTAAACGCAAAACCATTGGAGCGCATAAGCGTTGCAATTCCGGCATTTCTTCAGACTGGCGACGAGAGCACAAAGACGGGAAGAAAGAAAGAGGGTTTCGTAAAGTCGCTGATCTGTGAGGAGTACGCTTTTCGTCCAACCTATTTAAATAGCTGACACGTCGAAGTCTCTTATTTTATTATAATTTTTTAAATTCAGCAAAAAATTCAAAATGCAAATAAAAAATATTTAATTTGAGATTAATTTAATATATTAATTATATATAGAGCTCAATGCCTGTGGGACCATCTTCTTTTATAATTATTAAAAATTCTACTATCCTTATAAATCGCAGAGGGTGAGTTAATGTTTGAATAGTTTTGTATATGATTTATTTATATAATTATTTTTTTCTTGGTTAAGTGATGGAAGTTAGTTTAATCACCCAGCTATTACGATATATTTTTTTTATCTACTAAGATTAATAAGTCAATTTGAAAGTAAGTGTTAATCTTCATTAATGAGCCCCAATCCTTGTTTCTGAATATGAATGTGATTTTAAATAATCTATGATTATGTTAAAGAGAAGACTTGCAATATTGTTGAGATAAAATCTTTATTTTTAGCAAAACTAACCTAATGGTGTTTATGTTAGCATTATTAGCATCAGTATAGAAA